ATCGGGTGGTCAGGCTCGCTGACTTGGTTGATACATGTCATCGCTCCAAATTGCGTGGATCGATGCTTATGATATTAATCACTGGGTTGTCTGGTCCAGACAGAATATTTACAGACCGCCGCCATATAGCTGGAATATTGGTGAGTGTGGAGTTAAACAACAAACAAACAAACCAACCAATTTTTTTTCTACTAACAAGTCCACAAATAACATCACCATGATTATACGTAAGCATCACTAGATTAATTGTTTGATCAAGGAACTTGGTATAAGTGACAGATCAAATAATGTCGCGTATAAGGCCAACGTGTTAACGGAGGGAGAAATCTGCCAACTCAGCAATATTCCAGCTATATGACGGCGGTCTGTAAATACTCGAGTCTGGACCGGACAATCCAGTGATTGATATCATGAGCATCGATCCACGCAATTGGGATACGATAACATGCATCAACCAAGTCAGCGAGCCTGACCAGCCGATCCGGAGAGTCGCCTCTTACGACAAGCATAGTCGCCTTTTACGACAAGCATGGGTTGCTGAAGGTCTATTCCACCCCGGATCTTCACGGGTCCCTGAATATAGAACGTCAAGGCCAAAGAATAATCGGTGTCGATATCTGCCGAAACAGCTTTCATTGAGCGTAAAAGGAAAACAAGCGGTGAAGATGATATTGCGGAAGCCTTTTAGGGCCATTGTTTCTTTTAATTCTTTTCGATACTATCTTGAAATTTCAAGATGCTAAGTTGAAATTTCAAGATACTAAATTGAAATTTCAAGATACTACCTTGAAATTTCAATATACAGAAGTTGAAATTTGAAAATATTAAGTTGAAATTTCAAGATACTAAGTAGAAATTTCAAGATAATAAGTTGAAATTTCAAGATAAAATAAAATAACAAATGGCCCTAAAGGGCTTCCGTATGATATGAATGGATCACTGAAAATCAGTGATGACACTGGGTATTCGCAAAAAGGGTAAGCACGTGCTGCCCCGTCAGTAGCACCGGTTCCTTGTACCTGGTTTGTCTTGTACCATATATACCGTGCTTTTACATGTGTTTGTTCAGGGTGCAACCTGTGGTGCAGGATACGCTCATAGTGTTGGGAGCACCTGGTGTCGTTGATACCTAGTTGATAGTAATTCATAAACACATGCTCATGATATAATCGGAATCTTACCATGGACAATTATATCATCTTTAATTACTTATTTCATTCATATATAATTCAGGTAACGCAGTGGTATTACTGGTTTTGTGACATGGATTTATAGGGGGCACGGGTGGACCAGTCGTCTAAGGCGCCGCGATTCGCTGTGCAGAGTTGCGTCCCTTTGCCACGCCAGAAACCTGTGATTGTGGGTTCGAATCCCGGTTCGCCCCAATTATGTTTCTAGGTTTGTCAGCACCACACCCGTGCTCGTGGGTTTCACCCAAGTAGTAAACGTCTAAGACCTGCATCACTTCAGGCTTTCCTCCCACATTAAGCTGACACGCCGTGATATAACTGGAATACTGTTAAAAGCGGCGTTAAACCCAACTCACTCACTCACTTACCGGGAATCTCTCGGGGTTAAACATTACTTTGTATTGTTTGAGGATCAACAATTATCGCTGGCTTGCGTTAAACGTACAATTTTCATTTGCAATGTCAACACAAAACAAGTTCCACCTCACTTATGCGATCAACCTGATTACTAACAGAATTATGTATACTTAACATGGTTGATCCTCTTTTATATTCCTATTTGTGAGTTAGATTAGAACGTCACATCCGCAATTTTTTTTATGTGGCAGTAAAATCATAGAAGGTTTATTTCGAAAGAGTGTTAGGGACACGCATAGTTAAGCGCTCGTAAAATGTCAAGAGCTTAAGCGAGTAGTTTTTTGTGTGGCATGCAACAACCAGGAATTATAGTTACTTCCCTACCTCACTTCCGGGACAAACTCTCTTGTTCGAGGCTCTTCGCGAGGTAACAGTTCCCTGAAGGCTGGTTATACCTATATAAATGCACCCAGACTATGTAATGCACTTGCCAGACAAATGCCGCAGATCGAAGGTGAGGTGAGGTGAGGTGAGGTGAGGTGAGGTGAGGTGAGGTGAGGTGAGGTGAGGTGAGGTGAGGTGAGGTGAGGTGAGGTGAGGTGAGGCGAGGCGAGGCGAGGCGAGGCGAGGTGAAATTGGGTTTTACGTCGCGTCCAAGATTATTGCACTCATATAGCGACGTGCATGCACGTGTGTGTGTTTGTGTGGCTGCTTGTACTAGTCCGGACTGATGCCGATTGATAGTGCTAGCTCACTGAGATACCATGCCGCAGTTTAACATGAATACCCCACTCAGACACAGTATACTGACTCCGAGCCGACCAGAACTTGTTTTAGCCCCTTATGCTGAGCGCCAGACAAATACGGTATTACTAAAAATGGATTGCAGTATAATAAAACGAAACGTGCCTATCTAGGCAGATCTCAAATGTCCACAAACGTATAGTTTTGGTCAATTTATTGAGTTTGAATCAAAATGCATCTTCAACAATGTAATAAACTGATAATTATGACTACATACCGGGAGTTCTCGTAGAAAAGCCAGTGTCTTGATTGCGTGTTTTCTTTGATGAGAAGGTTTCTCACCGACCTTAGCGTGTGGGTGTGTGATGTCCTGGGCAGGAAATGACAGTCTTTTGAGTACTCTTCTTTCATTAATTAACGTGTTGGACATCCCTAATTAAACTTTACTAATTCATGTTAGACCAACTGAAGATGTTTTCTGGAAATGGATATTCGCGAATGTCATAGGGCTAATACGTGTTAATAACTGTCAAAGCATTTCTACAGTTACTAAACAAACTTTAATCTTTTGACTACTATCATATCTACCTATATACCACTTTCAGATCTCATATTGCGGTAGTTAAAGAAAACACAGTGAAGTTCTTTTCCCTCTAAATTCACAACATAGTCTCTATCAGAAGTGTTTGGTATGTGTTGGGTCCGACTTGGCCCGGGCTGTCAAAATCAACTTTAAACTCACAGATGTATCTTCAAATGTGTTTACATCTACAGACTACTATTATATCTACCTATGTACCACTTTAGTGTCTCATATTGTGGTAGTTAAAGAAAACACGGTGCTCAAAGTGAAGCTCTTTTTCCTCTACATTTTCAAAATGGTTGCTATCAGAAGTGTTTGGCGGTCTGTGTACGGTCCGACTTGGCCCGGGCTGTCAAAATCAACTTTAAACTCACATTTGTATCATCAAATGTGTTTATGTATAGAGTTTATTTCCTCCAAGTTTCAGGCCATAGGCCCATAGAACATACATTATCTCAATATAGTGTATGCATAAATACATGAAAAGAATATAATACATAAATAATACATCAGTGAATTGTGAGTGACTCGCGTAATCTAAAAGCGTGGTAGATATATTTAGCAAGTTGTGTAAGAGTGTATTTACATTTAGAAGACATAAGATTTAAAAAAAATTCATAGGATGGATTAGTGTGAAAATATGTATCAATAAAATGTAAAAGTAATGTTGAATATGAAGTACAAATAAAAAGGAAATGATATTCATTTTCAATGTAGTTGAAGTCCAAGTTTTAACATTGTGGGCAAAATCTTTTGTTTTCTTCTGTATTGGTATGACGTCCAGTTTCGATCATAAGTTTATGGCAGCTGCATCGGAATCTTGTTAGGGTTTCTTGATAGATCTTCTTGTTTACTTCCTGAAGGTACATTTCTATTGTTAATACCGATTTGAAAGTTAAATATGTTTTAAGTTTTGATTTTTGAGATCCAACGTTGTTGACCACAGTCCACGATACGTTGTTTGAATTGTGAAATGAATATTTGCGGATCTCCAACAGCTTGAATTATCCAGGCGTAGCCAAATCCATACTTGAAAAGAATGTTTTTTATATATGTTGCCCAGGATATACGGCCAGCTTCATCTAATTTGTACATCAATAAATACGTCCAATACTACGAAACTATAGAGATGGTACAGACTAAATATTACATACGGATTCTTAACCTACCAAATAATGCAAGCAATGACGCTGTTCTTGGTGAAACTGGAAGACAACGATTATATGTGTATTATATCAGTAAATGTATTAAATACTGGACAAAATTAATCTCTATGAACACTGATCGTCTACCGAAGCAAATGTGTTTACATCTACAGACTAGTGTTATGTCTACCAATAAACACTTTATAATTTAAAGAAAATTGGTTTGTTAAGTCATAGAGACTATGTTGAGAATGTATAAGGAAAAGCTTCGCGATAATTCTACGTTAGTGCCGCAAGAGTGGCAGAAAAATTTCGCGAAATGTTCGCGAAAATAGGGGAAGTTACTTTTGAAATGTAGTGTATGACGGCGGCCTCTAAATAATCGCGTCTGGACCAGAGTATTCAAAGACTGATATAATGAGTATTTATCTACGCATTTGCGATACAATAACATCTGTCAGCGAGCCTGACCGCCCGATTCCGATAGTCGCCTCTTACGACAAGGATAGGTTTCTGAAGACCAATTATAGCCCTGATAGTCACGGGCCCTTGCCATGTTTCGTCTGTAAATGTAAAATATAATACGCATGGCGAGTGAAGACGTTTCTTTGTGTCCCGCAGTTTCTGCTCTATCACTAAACAGAGAACTTCTTACATCTTACATCAAAGGGAAGATGCTGATTACATTAGCTTCCGTTGTAATACCAACATCCAAACACTTCCTCTCAGATGTTAACAAAACATTACAGAAATACTTCATTCTTTCCCCACGCTTCCAGGCGCACTTTGTTGACTGGAACAGACCACTTATATTAAATATTGATGGACTTAAAGTAAGTGTTTTAATATTAAAGGTACGCCCTGACACGCATGAGCCTTCAACAAAAAGCCGAACAAATCGATACCCGTAACCAATGCGACCATCGTGGCAATGCATATATCTATAGAATCAATACCCTACAATATCTCAAGCAACTGTCATTCGCCTTTCTGGTCCTACGGCATCAAGACGAATCCCTCCGCCAGGTGACATTGCCTTACCCCCCGGGGAATCTGTTTCGGCAGATAATTGGGACTGATTCTATTTTCTGGTGTTGACGTTCTATATTAAAGAAAAGTCATGACCAAAGAGCGTATTAAATTGTGCGTCGGGGGTCTGTATTTTACAACGTCAGCTGAGGTTCTGTCAAGATTTCCTGAAACCAAGCTCGGTCAAATAAGTCCTGCGTGCCAGTACTATGACGGGACTGCAGATGAGTACTATTTCGACAGAGATCCTGATGTGTTCAGCTGTATTCTCAACATGTATAGGACATCCGAGCTTCACCTCCCGTCCAACATTTGTGGGAATGCCATACGACGGGAACTGGACTTTTGGGAGATTCCTGAGAATCAGATCTCCGAGTGTTGTTGGCTCATTATGTTCCAAGTGGACCAAGGCGAGGAGATCAACAAGGATTTGGCTGCCAACTTTGGTAAGTCGTCCAAAGAGGAAACAGGGTCACCTTGCGGAAAAGTCAGGGATCGGCTTTGGAAATGCCTTGACCAACCAAACTATTCACGGATTGCAAAGGTTAGCTGTTGTTAGGAGTTGAATATCAGAGTTGTTTTTTAATATTGTTGTGTATTCAATATGTGTATTCGATTTGTGAACGTGATGATCATTTTACATTCGACATTGGACTTCGGGTAAGAATTGGCATCCCAGTATGTTAGTCGTAAGAGGCGGCTGTATGGGTCTGGTGGCTCGGTGACTTGGTTAATTACATGGTATCGTTGTTCATAATATCAGTCAGTGGCACCCGTGAAGATCCGGGGTAGAATAGGTCTTCAGCAACCAATGCTTGTCATAAGAGGGGACAGGATCGGGTGGTCAGGCCGACTTGGTTGATGCATGTTATCGTATCACAACTGCGTGAATCGATGCTCATGATATCAATCACTGGATTGTCTGGTCCAGATTCGATTATTTACAGACCGCCGTCATACAACTGGGATATTGCTGAGTGGGACATTATACAATAAACAAACAACAGTGGTATAATAATTATAATGTCAAACCTAGAAACATAATCAGGGTAAATATTGGCCACCCAGTGCTCCGCTTGTATCAGATATATTACATACATGTACACCATTCAGGCCGGGTGAGTGAGTGAGTTGGGTTTAACGCCGCTTTTAACAGTATTCCAGTTATATCGCGGCGTGTCAGCTTAATGTGGGAGGAAAGCCCGAAGTGATGCAGGTCTCAGACATTTATCATTTCGGTGAAACCAACGAGCAAGGGTATGGTGCTGACAAACCTAGAAACATAATCGGGGCGAAACCCACAATGGATTCGAACCCACAATCATAGGTTTCTGGCGTGCCCAAGGGACGCAACTCTGCACAGCGAATCGCGGCGCCTTAGACGACTGGGCCACCCGTGTCCCCTTCAGGGCGGGGTTTGTATCGGCTGTTATAATATATTCATAATGCAGAACTAAATAGATGCAGGAACACGACAGCTAACACATGTGCTAAGAACTAATATATTTTAAGAAGATTTGGTTGGTTTGCTGTTTAACGCCGCACTCAGTCATATTCCATTTATATGACGGCGGTCTGTAAATAATCGAGTATGGACCAGACAGCCCAGTGTTTAATAACATGAGCATCGATCCAAGCAATTGGGATCGATGACATGCATCAACCAAGTCAGCGAGCCTGACCACGCGATCCCGTTAGTCGCCTCTTACAACAAGAGTAGTCGCCTACACCCAAGAAGAATGCTTACGGTTATCATAAGTTGATCGTGGGGAGTCCGGACAAGGCGGTTGGTCCCCAGCAACCTATGCTTGGATCGGGTAGCCAGGCCGGGTCACTGTATTGCTAACATGTCATCGTATCCTAATTTCGTGGATCGATGCTCATCATTTCAATCGCTGGATTTTCTGGTCCAGATTCGATTATTTACAGATGGCCTTCAAATAGCTGGAACGCTGTTGTGGCGTTGAACGACAAGAAAATAAAATATTCTGAGAGTGATAATCTGAATCACGCGCTGACAAACGGGGCTTCTAAACGTGACAGCTTTATCATATAGCCAGGAAAAGAAACTTTTAGTTAAAAAGTAACATCGAAGCTGAGAGACTGACTACTCAGATACACTAGTTTCATCCAGAGATATGTATTGAAGGTAGTGTACTAGTTTATGCAATAGTCCCTTAATCAGTTTGCCAAAATGGTGTTCGTACACAACTACAAATATATTTACAAATCGTCCCTATTGACCTTTTTCACACTTACGCCATCTTGGATCGCAAACGAGACCCGGAGACCAAAGCTCCATGTAGTGTGAATCGCATCAGCTGATAGCGAACACAGAGCATGTTGTTCCTTTCTCTGATGGACATTTCAAACAAAAAAATGGTATATTCTGTATCTAATAGAGAAGATATTGCACATTTAATCCCGAGGTCCAACTAAAATATGCCTGTAATACACTGGAATTCGCATTTTGCAGTCAGGATCCCGGATGTTAATCGAAAGGTGCATTTCGAGATACGTATTTCCGAAATAGATTATTTTATCATAACCCCGTCGGCATATGGATACAATGTGATAGTATAATCAATGACAGAAGTTTTGTATCGTACATGAACTGCATAACATGAAACACGTCCGTGTAGTTTGCTGATTTGCTCTGTCATCGCGTTGCTTGGCGAACTCCAGATCGATGATCATGTTTATTTCACGTTGCATTGTGGTGTTTGATGCACCACGCACTATCGTTTTGCAATGAGTCAAGTTGACATAACCTTTTCTGCTGTGATTTTCATCCAAACATATTACGATGTAAATGGAATTAATTCACAAAAGAACAAAATAAATATTCAGAAGGGGTAACTCTATATAGCTGACATAAACTCAAACATTATATTCTGTGTAAACACAACAGATGCATCAATTTAATGACAGAGTGTACTACAGTTCTTTATATCAATACCACACGGAAATTCACACTTGTTTTAATGAAACAGGTTTTGATATTTGTATTATGTATTTAATCATGAAATACTTTGTTTAGTCTGACCATGCTGAAAACATACTTTCGCAAGAGGGAAAACAATATGATTATTAAAATCAGGTGATATATCTCGTTTTGTCAGACCTACAGTCAGCCTACCTCATTGACACTATGTTTTTTTAGTAAGGTCATGAAGATCAAAAAGAAAATATAATATGAATCAGACTAAGCTTTTTGGTCAAATGAAATGTTTATCTCAGCTTGTGGTTTACTAAAGTTGATATTTTGACTTGTGGCTGTGTCACTCATGAAAATTTTAATTTTGTCAGATCACAAGATGAGATAACTTCATGCTATCGACCGCCTCCGTGGTCTAATGGTAGAGCGTCCGCCCGGAGAGCGGAAGGTCCGGGGTTCGATCCCCAGCCGCGTCATACCAAAAGACGTTAAAAGATGGTACTTGTTGTTACCCTGTCTGGCGCTCGGCATTAAGGGGCTAAAACAAGGACTGGTCGGCTCGGAGTCAGTATACTGTGTCTGAGAGGGGTATTCATGTTAAACTGCGGTATGGTATCTCGGTGGGCTAGCACTATAAATCGGCATCAGTCCGGACTAGTACAAGCAGCCACACACACACACACATAAGTGCAATAATCTTGGACGCGACGTTAAACCCCATTTCACCTCAACTCACCTCACTTCATGCTATCATCGTTATTTGACAAGGAAAACAAATTTCCTCTATCTATTTATACTTTTTTATATTTCTCGTCTAGTAATCTGGAACAGAAAAGTAAGTAGTACGCGTTCAAGATTATTGCACTTACATAGCAACGTGCATGCACGTGTCTGTGTGTATGTATGGCTGCTTGTACTAGTCCGGACTGATGCCGATTTTATGGTGCTCGCCCACTCAGATATCATGCCGCAGTTTAACATGAATACCCTTATCAGACACAGTATACTTCGAGCCGACCTGTCCTTGACTTAGCCAACAAGTACAATCTTTTACCGTCTTTGGTATGACGCGGTCAGGGATCGAACCCCGACCTTTCGCTCTCCGGGTAGACGCTCTCTCCACCAGACCACGGGGCAGCCTGCAATTCGGCGAGACTTTGACAGCGTCTGAATTGTGTGACAACAGTCGTAGCCACAGGAACCCAATAACTGTGTCAGGAATGGGTTTGTTCCAGTCGTAAAGAAATATTGTTCAGGTTGATTTTGACACTGATCGCGGTATTTTTGGGGCCACTCTAAAATTACTGTCCGTTGTTTCCCCTCAGCGGGCGATATCGTTTGTTTGTTTATTTGTTTGATGATCAACGTCGCACTCAGCAATATTCCAGCTATATGACGACGGTCTGTAAATAATCAAGCCTGGACCTGACATTCCAGTGATTGATATCATGAGCACCGTTCTTCGCAATTGTTACATAGACTATACTTTGCAGGACTTCTTTGAACTTAAAAATTTGGTGGAAAATCTTTGAAATCTTCGAAAGCAGAGCATGCTGGTTTTAACCTCATAAGTTGTGAAATGTAGACACCAAAGATTGGTCTGCTGGAATATCGCTCGACATAAAGAGAAAATTGACTGTTGAAACACATATCTAGACATTCAGTCTTGTAGATAGTATTTTCTCAAATAGGAATATTTATGCATAGTACCAAATATTAAACAGATGGTCTCTTTTATGTCTTTTCTAGTTTAGGTGGGTAAATCAGTGGCAGGATATTAGCTATTTGACCATATTTAAACTATAGCAAATCATCGCTATATCTTAAGCTTGGCCAAATTCTCTTGTTTTGATTTTGCCAACCCGAGCGGATATTCCGATTCAAATGCAATCTCATTAAAATCAGACCTTAGTAGTATGAAGACATCCCATTAGGGGTCACGTCAGAACGACCTTTCATCCGACCAATCAGAGCGACGCTTACCAGATTATCAAAGTGACAGTCGGAATGAGATTTCTAATCATGCAACGACGAAAACTTTAACACGGGGTATTCCGAACGATAGTTACGGGTTTAACGACTGAATCCATACAATCTAGACCATCTATTAACCATGCCAAAATGTTCTTTTGTTTAGGTTTCAAACTTGTAATCGAGAATTTGTCAAAATATGTTTCGAAGCGTAGTCGCCAATTTGAAATTAGTGCCGTAAAGCACGAGAAAATTGCCTCCTGATTGGTCATTCCATTGGTCGGTCAAAGTTCGCGCAAGGTTGATCTGACGTGACCCGTAATGGGATGTCCTCAGATCTTTGTTTAGCGGTAGCGAGAACTAAGATCTGAGTTTAATGAGATTGTTTCAAATGTATAAGGAAACGGATCAGCCAGAAGGGGATCACCATTGGTGGCTTCGGCACGCCCAACCACACCGGATTTTGTATGGAGATTAGATTTATTTCAGATATATTTTTAAGTAAAACACATTACAACTAACTAATTCTTTTGTGGCAGGCAAAATGGTCGGTCATTTACATATTTTACAATAAAAGGTAGCTATAAGTATGTAAAACATACAGAAATGATAAATATAAATACTTAATGTTATAAATATAACTGGTTTTAAATGACGATATTTTTTGCCGTTTCTTTGATCTTGTCTGTAAGAGACTATTCCCACTCAATTTATTCAGTTTGATATCTACTTTACCAAAGCTAACTGTAGTATTTGATGCAACGTTTGTTGTACGCAGTTATATGTCTGAAAACAGCTGATACGATTGCAATTGTAATTTTATGTAACTGTATTTTCTTAATTTAAATTTCAACGAGCATTGGAAATTAAATTTGGTTTGTTGGTCAACTCGCACTCAGAGATATTCTAGCTATGTGACGACGGCCTGTAAATATTAAAGACCTAGCTATACGAACCAGTGATTGATAATGCGAGCCACTCAATCGGGGCATCAACCAAGTCAACCAGACCACACCCTCCTGTAAGTCGAGAAGAGATGCAACAGCTAAACCAAGCGGCTCGCCTCAAAACTTTGAGGACCATTATGGAAGGTTCAGAGCTGTGTGTGTGCGAGTTTGTTTGTTGAATATTCGAACACTAGATGTCCATACTGGTTTCCAAAGCGTTTATTCAAAATATCAAGGCTAGTTTTAGGATTCGTATTCGTATTCGTACACCGACAGATGTCTTTCTTTTCCCAACTGTCACTCAATTTCGTTTCCGCTTGGCAGGTTGGCTCATATGTTGATTGTGATACCATGTACTGCGCAGACACTCGACCCGATTGCATCTCAAACCTCACCTCAGTGTCTGCGGACAATGCCTGTCCAATTAACGAATGAGACTAAATAACACACAGTGATCACATGGTGCCCTTGCCTTTCATGGTGATGCCAGGTAGTAAATACGAACAAGGCATCATCAAGCGAGGTCACTGTACGTTAAGTGGGACACACTAGTGCGTAATTTCACTGTTGGTAATTGAAAATCATTGTCAGGATCCGGAAACAGGAAACAGGATTTCCGGATACAAGAAGCAGTTTTTGTACTAGTATTTTTTTCTTTTCCCGCAAACATCGTCCGACAGGGAATGTTTCCTGGTTGGTTGGTTGGTTGGTTGGTTTGTTGTTTAACGCCGCACTCAGCAATTAATCCAGCTATATGACGGCGGTCTGTAAATAATCGAGTCTGGACGAGACAATCAAGTGATTAATATCATGAACATCGATCCACCAACTTGGGATCGATGACATGCATCAACCAAGTCAGCGAGCCTGAACACCCGATCCCGTTAGTCGCTTTTACGGCAAGCATGGGTTGCTGAAGACCTATTCTACCCCGGATCTTCACGGGTACAGGGCCCATTTGCACAAAGCGATCTTAGCGGTAAGATGATCTTAACTCCCATACTTTAACATAGGCTTACAATTGTCTTAGCGCTAAGATCGTTTTGTGCAAGTGGGCCCTGGACATTTAAAATAGTATTTAGTATTACATGCACATCAAATTGTCACACAATAACGGATTCTAGAATGAGAAGCTTGTTCATACGGTAAAATTAGCTATTCCCGTTACATTAAATGAAAAAATTGTTTCTTTCTGGAAACAATTGTGTGAGTGAGTTTTGCTTTTAGCAATAACCCAGGAATACCACTGCTGGGGGACACGAGAAATTGGCTTGTCACAATTTACCCACAATGATTTTGGACTGAGAACAACGATAAAGCCTCTTAGCAAACATTTACCATTAAACTATTTTTTGGTATTACGTGCACATTGATTGTCATACATTATCAGAAAATTACGATTGTTTATATTGCCAAATTAGCTACATTTGTATACCCATAAAATTGAATGGTCAGCAATTGGTCCATGTGTAGGTACCATTTGGCCACCAAATTTGCATATATTGCGCAGGTCTTGAAGTAAAAGAGCATTAAATTAACTGACTATGAACACAGAGGTGTTTAAATGTGATTTCGTGTATGCAATCATCGTCAATGCTGTTCATATATGACACAGATTTTATAAGCCTTGGAATCGTGTCTGACAAGGTTTAGATTTATCCTGTTTCATACGGTCGGGTTATTATCTTTGCGATAGTTGGGGGTGGAAAAAAATCTTTATTTCTGTATAAATTATCACCAAAGACAATAAATAGATCTTAATTGTGCATTATAATTTCAGATATGGAACACTGTCTTTATGATCCTTGTGGCTGTGTCTGCTATCCTCTATTGTCTGGAAACCATGTTTGAATTTCGTGAGTTACGTCCGGGTGCTTCTTCCAACAGTTCATATCGAAAGTTCCGAAGTGGAAATAATTTGAAGATTGAACTGCTGATGTTTACGAAGGTCAACGATTACGTTTATGTCATTGATGTAATTTGCCTCTGCATCTTTACCGTAGAGCTCATCCTTCACTTCCTGTCATGCGCACAGAAACGGAAGTTCATGAAGAGGTTCCTCACCTGGGTTGACATTGTTTCGATTTCAGGTGGATGGAGTGTGTTGATCAGCGAGATTGGATTTTTGCATGGATTCGTTCCCCAAACCTATGACATGTTCGTTTTGTATGTAGTACTACGGAGCTTCTATATCTTCCGTCTCTTTCGCTTTTTACGACTTTCTGAGCGGTTTACCGGACTGAAAGTGATATTTTTGGCCATCAACCGTAGCAAATCGGAACTAATCCTGTTGATGTCCTGCTTCACGATTATTGCGACAGTTTTTGGATCTATACAATATTATTGCGAATTTGAAAACAATGCCTTCGACACCATACCAATATCAATCTGGTGGGCAGTAGTTACTATGACAACGGTAGGATATGGGGACTATGTGCCCTCTGGGGTGTGTGGTTACCTGGTTGGGTCGGTCTGTTCTCTGCTCGGAATTCTTGTCATTCCGATGCCCATTGCCGTAATCGCTGCCAATTTCAATGACTTCTACAAGCGAAACCAACAACGTCAACAGCGTTTGAAGAAACAGAAGCGACCTCCTGATCCGTGTTCTGTTGTCAAAGTTAACCCATGTTGATCAAAGTTAACATGTTAACCCTGTATTAAAGTAAGCTCTGTTTATTAACGTTAACGACTGTTTATGGATGTTGTAAGTAAGTATTCATTTTTTTATGCTTGTCGTAAAAGGCGGCTGACAGGATCGGGTGGTCAGGCTCGCAGAATTGGTTGTCACATGTCATCGACCCCAATTGCGTGGGACGCGTGAAGATTCCGGGGTAGAATAGGTCTTCAGCAACCCATGCTTGCCGTAAAAGGTGACTATGCATGTCGTAAAAGGCGACTAACGGGATCGGGTGGTCAGGCTCGTGACTTGGTTGATGCATGTCATCGATCCCAATTGCGTGGATCGATGCTCATGACGTTAATCACGTTGGATTGTCTGGTCCAGACTCGATTATTGACAGACCGCCGTCATATAGTGGAATATTGCTGAGTGCGGCGTTAACCAACAAACCAACCAACCAATTGCGTGGATCGATGCTCGTGATATCAATCACTGGATTGTCTGGTCCAGACTCGACTATTTACAGACCGCCGTCACATAGCTTGAATATTGCTGAGTGTGGCGTTAAACAACAAACTGACCAACAAAAATGAAATTGAAGATAAAAAATGCCTGTTGTTTATGTTCTCTTAGGAGGAATTGTGCACATGTGCAATACAAGTCACAGGTATGGCAGAACTCTTTAGTAGTGGGTTAGTATGGTTTTATGCCGAAAGCAATATTCTAGCAATATCTTGGCTGCGCCCCCAGCTGAGCTTCACTAACTGAACCCATGATGGGATTCGACCCCGGGCCTTCGTCCTGACGAACCAAAGTTTTAACCACTGTGCTGTCCTATCACACAGGCTGAAGTGAAAAGGAAAGTATACCGAGATCGTTTTCTGAAAACTGAAAATTGAAAAAAACCTTTTGTTAAATTTGATTACGTCTGTTGATCAGTCATTTCTGCGACAGTTTGTTAAAAGTAATCTGTGGCTGGGTAGTTTTGTGCAAAAACATATTGGTTCAATTAAGACTGGGTAAGAAATGAATTTGCAACGACATGACCCCCATCAGGTTTGAAATGTAAATTTATGCCGAAAACCCCGAAATATGTTGATTTTCAAAGATAAGATGCCAAAGGTTTGTGTATTATGCGATTGTTTGTTAATTTAATTTTTTTTTTATATTTGAGACAATATTACCGATAACAGGAGTGCTGGGAACAGACAGTAGATCGCCACCTGAAATGATATCTGATAAGTTAACAAGGTGAGACTGCATCTGGAATATTCAGCATCATGATAAGTAGCCTGATTTATGCCTTATTATTATTATTATTATTATTATTATTATTATTATTATTTTGATGTACAGATTACAAATAAAATATGGAGCAAAAAGGGTTTCGGTGATGCTGGCAAAGTCAGGCCGGTTAGGCTTATCGTCAGCTCAGAGCCCTTGCCCCCTCTACAAGCTGACCAGAAGGGCTGACAAGTCGAACCCACCGAGAACTTTTCGGAGAATGTGAAGACTTCCCAACACTGCAGCCTTCTGCATCACCCAGATTGTCCGAAGAGCTCTATTCCTGGCAGCAAACCCGGGTACTCTCCCAATGTCAGTCAACAGATTGGGAGGTACCAAACCTAAGGCACCGAGAACTATGGGGAGTCGGACAACTTGGTACTTGGGATGCAAGCGTGACATTCCGAAAGTGAGATCTGCATATTTGCCATGTTCTTCATGAATCGTGTCAATCACGTTAGTGTCGAAAGGGACGGAAATGTCAAAGATATAAATGATTTCATCGAATTTATCAAAAAAGACCAGATTAGTTTTGTTGGCCTGGATGGTCTGAGGATGTAAACGGACCTATTCCAAAGAATTTTGTACTAATAATTTTCCATGACGCCCTCTTCATATCCTGGTTCGTACCATGGATGGACCTCTGTGACAAAACCACAAACATGGCGAAGACGGTAATAAAATGATTGAGACACTCCATCGTTTCGCTTCAGATACTGTGTTTGTGCCAAAGCTGGACAGTCTCATTAAATTCATTGCGTATTCTACATTTCATATTTACATTTTGATGCAAAATCACACACAGACGGTTTCGAGTGGGAAGCGACTGGTCCTAAACAGCAAACAGAAAGCCTTCTGTTTCACTTTTCAGGCCAGTCGACTTTATCTTAGCGAAGGACTCTGCGGGGTTGCTAATCATCTCAACACACTGCACATAAACTCGATGCAGTGATCGTTCAGATAGTCTCTCCTTGAAACTGAGTCATGGTTGACACTCATTTTTGTTCCTCCAGCAGTACAGAACCATCAACAAAATCAACACTGACATTGAGATTATGTCCCATATACTTGGCTCGTTTAAGAAAACTGTGTAATGCCTTCACAAGAGGATCATCAGACAAATAAATGTGTGCAAAGGTGCACAATACATCATGAAGAGCCTCCACGTTAATCAAACCACGCACCAAGGGATCACGCAGATTAGTCGATAGCCCAAACCGTCAGAAGACAGAAAGTGTTTTCAGTGTTTGAATGTTGCTGAAGATGAATGCCATGCCATTTTAAATTGCCCTGTGTGTCGTGTTGCGTGACGTAGTGCCACGAGTTGAATTCAAGTTTTATCAACAAGTGTGATGTCCAGAAAACAGCCTATATTTTGTCAGATAATACTACATTTCCTCTTACCGCCAGATCCTGCATTGACATATTACAAAAAAACGGAAGAGTGGTTTATACAGCTGCTAGTCAGCTTCTGTTTTTATCATGTATACTAAATATGTGAATACATTTTAGAAGAATATCTCTTATAACTCCGTACGGAGTGAACCATACATGTATTTTATTATGCAACAGTATAGATCTATCTGTCTATCTATCTATGATCGATAAATGATACCATGTTTTCAAGAACAGCATTGTTTATTGTTGTTTCAAGTATGTTTAATGCATGTACATAATCGAATCAACGTGGATAACGTGACCAACGTCCCACGACATCGGGTTACCATGACAACAATCAGCCAAGTCACTGACCGTGACCACCGTCTCCCCTTTTCAGTTGACAGACATGTTCTGGGCCCCGTTCCACAAAGCGATCTTAGCGCTAAGTCGGTCGTAACTCCCATTCTTTAACACTGACTTACGACAGTCTTAGCACTAAGATCGCTTTGTGGAACGGGTCCCTGGAGACTCATTGTGACCAGGACTCGCCGTGGGTCCTTTCTTAATCCCGATCAATACATTTGTGCCATCAATACGACCAGCTGCGATCTGCATGTTTAGATTTGATGGATCAATACATATACTGGCTCTTTGATCAATATAACCCCCCTTGGGATCTACTATCATGCACCCGGAACGCCATTATTTCTGTTGGAATAGTCTTCAGACGCATGCATTCATCGATACAACAACGATTGCTTCGGTTGATTTCCATGTTGACAACTCTAGTGTAAGGTCAAGGTCAACGCCTCGGTGATATATTGTTGTATTTTCTCCTCTAAATTATGAGACTCCAAACTGGTCTCATTAATGATAAAATATATATTTTTAAAGTATTTTTGAAATGAAATGAAATGAAAATTAAACGTCAACGCCAGAGAAGAACCAGTCTCGATTATCCACCGAAACAGATTCCATCGTTCTCAAAAGCTAAAACAGCGATGAAAATTATATGAATGAATCGCTGAAAAGTAATGATGACACCAGGCTGGTTGGATGGTTTGTTGGTTGGTGTGTTGTTTAACGCCGCACTCAGCAATATTCCAGCTACATGACGGCGGTCTGTAAATAATCGAGTCTGGACCAGACAATCAAGTGATTGATATCATGAGCATCGATCCACGCAATTTGGATCGATGACATGCATCAACCAAGTCAGCGAGCCTGACCACCCGATCCCGTTAGTCGTATTTTACGACACACATGGTCGCCTTTTACGGCAAGCATGGGTTGCTGAAGACTTATTCTACCCCGGATCTTCACGGGCCGACGACAACACCCGATGACACCAGGTGTTCGCGAAAAGACATGCTGTCAACCAAATCACCGAGTCTGACCACCAAATCTATGAAGTTGCCTCTTACGAGTAGGGGGGCGGTCAGGTAGCCTAGTGGTTAAAGCGTTCGCTCGTCACGCCGAAGACCCTGGTTCGATTCCCGACATGGGTACAATGTGTGAAACCCATTTCTGGTGTCCCCCGCCGTGATATTGCTGGAATATTGCTAAAAGCGGAGTAAAAACATACTCACTCACTCTCACGACTAGCATATATTGCAGGGGACTCATTTTAACACTCAGTTCCCAAGCGGGGAACAACATTGCGAAACAAGTAGTGATCTTACGTGCAAAGCATTGAACCTCTTTCTCTACTAATTATAAGTGACCGAGTGGGGTTACAAAGGTCACTTGATGCATTTTATAAACATTGTACTTCGTGGAAGAAACGGGATGTGAAACTCTCTGAACCAAAGTAATTATTTTTGGAAGTGGACCGCTAAAACACTTATTCTAACTTTTTATTCACGCTTGGTGAACTATTGATATTTATATACATACCGTATTCGACGTAATAAGCGCCAAGGGCGCTATCAAAATTAGAAATAGGGGGCTATTATTAGAATATAATTTTGGTGAGATTAAAAACGAGGATGAAAGATTGTAAATTTCGTGGTTTATGCTGACAGCCTGAAATGATATAAAAGAAGAATCTGTGCGTATCCCACGACAGATATATTATCGAGAATTTAACTGCCCATAATTAAGGGTGCATATAACACACGAGTGCGTATTATACACGAATAAACAAGTCTTGTGTACATTGATCAATCGGAAAGGGTGTTAATTGGGATTGTTCACTAGCCAATATATTAGCAAACATCGCTGTGGGCGCTTATTAGAGCGGGGCGCTTATTACGGTATCTTGGGATAACACATAACACAATCACAACAGCAATAAAAATGTTAGTGCAAAATGCAACATATATGTTTGCGTTATTAAAGAAAGCACGGAATATTAACTTGCCTTTAGACCGTATGACAGCAGCATTTGATACAATGTTTGCCCCGATTATAATGTTCGGAAATGTTGAAATTTAAAATGCAATTGTTACTGAAAAGTACATTTCAAATTTCTGAAAATTGCAGCTTGTCTTTGCTACTCATCACCAAATGTCAATTTGGGAATTTGGAAGAGAACCCCTGTATATTAAAATGTATAAGCGGGTTATCATATTTTGGCATAAAATTGTCACAAATAAGGACATTCCCAACTTATCAAACGTACCAGTTTATCACAAAGTAATGGACCCCATATTGCTGATAAACTATCATGGATTTATTTGGTGCAAACAAACTTAATGATTGTGGACTTACTGATTTGTTTGATAAGCTACACATATGTTCTACACAATGGCTGGCTCAAAAGGTAGAGGAAATACTTGAAGACCAACTATCTGCAAAATTGTGGCAGCAGTTATGGAAAGTTCAATGGGTTTGTACTACAAACAATTTCAAGAACCTTTATCTTTTGAAATAATCTCTTATTGCCCCAAAATATATACGACCCTATTCTGAAATTTAGAACAAGTTACCACACCTTGCCCATTAGACCCGTGAAGATCCGGGGTAGAATAGGCCTTCAGCAACTATGCTTGTCGTGAGAGGCGAGTGGCGGGATCGGATGGTCAGGTTCGCTGACTTGGTTGATACATGTCATCGTATCCCATTTGTGTGGAGTGATGTCAATCACTGGACTGACACGTTCTTCCCTGGAATTTCACGGGTCCATCGACTGGATTGTCTGGTCCAGACTCGATTATTTACAGATCGCCGTCATACAGCTAAAATATGTGAGTGAGGCGTTAAACAACAAACAAACATCCTTGTATTATTTAATCAATTCAAGGGGGCACGGGTGGCCCAGTCGTCTAAGGGGCCGCCATTCGCTGTGCAGAGTTCCGTCCCCTGGGCACGCCAGAAACCTATGATTGCGGGTTCGAATCCCGGTTCACCCCGATTATGTTTCTAGGTTGGTCAGCACCATACCCGTTCTCGTTGGTTTCACCGAAGTGATAAACGTCTAAGACCTGCATCACTTCAGGCTTTCCTCCCACATTAAGCTGACACGCCGTGATATAACTGGAATACTGTTAAAAGCGGCGTTAAACCCAACTCACTCACTCACTTACCGGGAATCTCACGGGCTTCGAAAATTACTTTGTATTGTTTGAGGATCAACGATTCTCGCTGGCTTGCGTTTAACGTACAATGTTCATTTGCAATGTCAACACAAAACAAGTTCCACCTCACTTATGCGATCAACCTGATTACGAACAGAATTAAGTATACTTAACATGGTTGATCCTCTTTTATATTCATATTTGTGAGTTAGATTAGAACGTCAATCCACAATCTTTTTGTATGTGGCAGTAAAATCATAAAAGCTTTATTTCGAATGAGTGTTAGGGACACGCATAGTTAAGCGCTCGTAAAATGTCAAGAGCTTAAGTGAGTACCACTGTTGTTTGTTTCTTGAGTAATAAATGTTGAGAAATTGAAATTGCAATTAAAATTGTACAGTCAAACCCCGTTATCTCGAACCTTTCGGGCCGTGTTGTAACTTCGAGATATCCGGACATTCGAGATAACGAGACATAAACATAATATAGTAGGCGTTAGGGACCGGGGTCTAGGTTCGAGATATCGGCACGTTCGTGATAACGGGGTTTGAATCAACGAGGTTCGACTGTATGTATCATATAAAAACTTTGCATTCACAAGTACTATCTTATCGATAGAGCAAGCATTTGTCGTAATAAGCCACAGCGTGATGACTACTGGTACAATCATGACAATGCGTGTCTTGTATTTGAACTGTTGCACAAACCAGCTACCTTCATGTGTGTACACCGTGGTTGTTTGTGAATGGTACACGACGGACAAGACTTCAATTGTGCATCACGGAATTGTGCTAATGAAGAACCATTATTTGAATCCCACTGAAAACATTAGAATATAATGCTAATATTTGGATGTCAACTTGTGTCGTACGTCCTTATTGTGAAGCATTTAAAAAAAGAAAAAGAAAAAAAAGATCGACATATTACGTTTCCACAAAACACTTTTCACTATGGCCACGGCATATGTGTGCATTAACGACAGGGAGAGATATGAATCAGAAAGGAAGACATATTTATCTTTCCTAAGCATTTGCTTTTATTCATTTAACAAATTGTAAGGGTTTTAACTGTTTGTTTGTTTTTTGTTGTTTAAAAGCAACACTAGGCAATACTCCAGCTACTTGATTACGGCCAGTAAATAATCGAATCTGGATCAGACAATCCTGTGACTGATATTGTGAGCAACGATCCACGAAGCGTACGTGACTTTGCAACAGGCATGACCACCCGATCCTCTGAGTCTCCTCGTACAGCCAGCATAGGTTGTTTGGAGCCAATGCTAGCTCAGAGTCCCCATTGGGACTGTTAACACGATACAACACTGGTAGGCAGTTCAGGTGAGCTTCCAGAAGCTCTTTGTTGCAACATCGTCTACAACAGCTGAAGTGAATGAAACTGTTGCTCTTGATCATATCCCGGCGTTTTTTATGAATTAAATCAAGTAGAACTTCCACATGTAGTCTCTTGAAAAGGGGGAGACAACTCTCACGTTCATGTTACACAGCCCCTGTTCTGCTCCCCATGAATAAAGGTGAAGTGGGGTAGCCATGTGGTTAAAGCGATTGCTGGTCACGTTGAAGATCCTGGTTCGATTCCTCACATATCTCAGAAGTGTGACCATGCTTGCCGTAAAAGGTGACTATGCTTGCCGTAAAAGGTGACTATGCTTGTCGTAAAAGGCGACTAACGGGATCGGGTGGTCAGGATCGCTGACTTTGTTGATGCATGTCATCGATCCCAATTGCGTGGATCGACAAACCGAAACATAAGTCTCTTTTCATAAACATGGCATGGTCGCATAAGAACATAGTTTCGCTCTTGAGTAATTGAGATGTACTGTCAATTAAACTGTACCAGTAAGGCTGAAAATAGTTCTAACTCTACGAACAAAAGTTTATTTAAAGATGAGAGAACATTTTAAGTAATGTTCGTGTCGTAATTGCATATTTTGTAGCGAAAAGACTTACGTCTTCCTGATAAGTAAGATGATAATGTGCGTGTTGGGCGGCGTTAATAAAATCCTTGATTCATGGTCATTGAGAGTGGCTACGTTTGAAAACCAGTTTATATAAATCGACAAACGTCATATTAAACGCTTGTTGCAATTGGTTGTAAAAACGCGCTGTACACGGCTATTTACATCAAACCGTAAAATTTAGGGAATGGAGGTACTTCTCATTACGAGAGCGAACTTACCTTATATGAGTTCACGTGTGTTTGTTTTGAAACGACATCAAGTAACTCAGTTTGTTGCAACGATATGTTTTTAATACACTGTCATCTTGTTGTACAGAAACTGGAATTCTATTAAGATTACTATGACAACTAGTTTGAATACTATCACCTCGAATATTTCAACATATGATCACTCACTCCTCAATTTTGGTTGATCACACACACATTTTTATATAGATGTGTTTTAGATTAATAAAGAAATTCACAATATCAATCTCCGTTAATTAATTTGTATTGTACCATGCCTGCAACTGTTTAGGATCCAATACACCTATTTTACCAGGTGTGTCACTGTGTGATAAATCACATGAATATTCTAACACTGGCTCACCAAACACATTTGACCAGAGTTTCATTGTGCCTGATGAAATGTCTTTTATCAGACAGGATGCCTCCAACATTGCGTCGACGAAAGGCTGGACTTTCATACAGATCTAACTATGAAGGCCAGTCCCTTGCTACCTCACAACCACAGATAAAATGGAGCAAAACACAGCTCTTTGATAATAGAGACCAAACAGGAAGGATCAGTAACCAAGTACAAAGTTCACTACATTGGCTGGCCCTCCAAGTATGACCAATGGGTTGAGGACTCAAACATTGCAACAAGGTCAAGCCTGGAGAAGACAGGCATACAGGACATTTTCATATTTCAACTTTTGAACTCAATCAAGGACAACCTCATATGCTCGCGTGGCGTAGATTCTTTGGCTTTTATCCGCTTTCCTATTTCATCCCCAGAGGTTGCTAGCTCTCTGTTGGAACTGTCAACGAAAACACTTCAATCGAAGACTGGACATCTGCACAGGAGTGAATTCACCTTCCTTGGTGAACACTCACCAGACATCCTCTTTGGACAGGACTGGTGGTACAGGATCATAAACCCAGCTGGTGACTTCGGCTATATCAACAGGGACACTGTCCGCTTTGGATTCTATGAAAACACCGTGAAGAGTACACAACTGACATGAAACGAAAACTGGTACATCGCGGATTTATCTTCTTCATGCAGTTTGTGAGGGAGAAAGGGAACAGGATGGATATCAACCTTCTGAGGTGAACACTGGGGTTAGTGTTGTAGGTGTAGCCTGTCTTGAAGACCCTGCCCTGATATTCATGATATTTCAAAATATGCCTGGAACTGGAACTAAACTTGGAACATGTGACAGAGCTCAAATATGAACTATTCATTGTTCTTGGTCAAATATTTCAGGTGACTTTTTTTTCTAGGTGGTGATCTTAAGTTTCTGAACATGGTCTCAGGGATATCATCATGTGCTTGCAACTATGGTTGTGTGTGGTGTAAATGTCCATCAAAAGACTGATATGACACTACTTTGCAGTGGTCAGTTAGTGACATTTCTCAGGGAGCATGAACTGTACAGGAAATATCTATGATGGCCACAAGAAAGTCACATAACTTTAAATGTGTTCATCCTCCTCTGTTTGACTTTATTCCAATTAATAGAAGAGTTCCAGATCTGCTTCACATGTTTTTGCGCATATCCGATCAATTGGTAAACCATCTTATCACAGAGTTGAGAGTTTTGGACAATCTGCAAAGGTGTAATAGTGTGTACAACATGGATAGGTGTTGCAATGTCTCCAGATTTGAAAGACTTGTGCATGGTCTTGGTGTGGAATTTCATTTTAAGAATGATAAAGCTTCGGGAAGATTCATTTTCCGTGATTTTAACGGACCAGAGCATAAAAGGATTTCCCAGCGTATTGTCATTACAGATTTTCTTCCTAATCATCCCAAAGTGAAATAAATCAGCTTTCAGTGGAGTGAATTCTCATCTATCCACTCCATTCTTGGGCCCGGTTCTTTTGATGAGTCTGAAGTTGTCTCACTTAATGAAAGATGCAAGCAATGGGTACGAACACTTGTGATGGTTTACCAAACTAAAGACGCGACGCCTTACATGTATATCTTAGCATACCATGTCTGTGATATGATAAGACTTCATGGAAATCTGAGAAGCTTTTCACAGCAAGGCTTTGAAAAGTTAAATGACTGTGTTACATCGTGGTTCTTCCGCTCAAGATGTCACAGGAGTAGAGAAACATTGAAGCAGGTTATGCTTAAACAAAACAAAACAAAACAGAATGGTTTCTTCACAGATTTTTAGGAGAAGTCCGATGAAGATAAAATGTTGTTTGTGTCAAGGGCAGGGTCATAATAGGCGGTCATGTACCAACAAGAACAGACTAACTGAGTAGGATGGACTCCTAGATCTGGCATCAAGTGCATATATGTGCTTATACTAGCTTTTAGATCGGGTGTTCTCTTCAATGATACAATAAATAATCTACCATAGGGTGATAAACTGAATTTGAACTGAAACATATTTCAAGATTCGGCAGAATATAAGCAAATGAAACAAATCAGTTTTAATATGTGTGAAGGTTATACACATTTTTGCATGTCTAGCATTTCATTTCATAAACATTCCACTATAATTCGAATACTGGTTAAAACACGTTTTGTGCAGGGTACAATGCTCTTCAAATGAAAAGGTTTTTTTTGTTTAGTGCTATTGAATGTGACATTGTTTCAGTTAATAGTTGAGACGTTTTGTTAAAATATTCTGTACATGTAACATGTTTGCACAGACAGTGAATATGAAAGTGTACAAGTGGGATTTCAGCTGTGACATTATAAATGATACAATCTGAGACGGCCAACCATTATAGCAATTATTTAGTCAATATTTGGCCCTATGAAGTTAAGGGTATCATCAGGCTATCAGTAACATGTCTTTTAAAATAGTTTTTACACATTTCACTACATACATATCATCACCAAGGAGCAGGTGAGTATGGCTTGGTGAGGAATACACCTTGTCAATTTATGCTGCAGACTGTCAGTAAAGAATACTTAGTCATGGTCGATAAACATGGCAACTCTCAAACAGTTCAGTTACATTTTGATGCATCACCAGCAACGGCCTATGCAGAAATACGTTTAGTTTACTAGTAAGGGGATTTCTCCATTGTATAATAGTGGACGGTCGCTCGGAGGGCAATTTGGTTATCTCAGTTTAAATCACAATCAGGGTTTTGATTGAAACAGTTCTTCTCCCTAAGTTTAAAGTGTGCTTTGGAAATCTAATATGGGGCAAATATATTGCCATTGTTTCTGCATTACCTCTAGTTTCGAACATATTTCCTGTTTGGAAATATTAGATGTCTCGAGTACCCTCGACTCATGCTTCAATTACTTTTTTTTTTATAGATTTGTCATTAATAAACATTTTACAACATACAAAGATTTGGTCTTTTATTCATTAAGCTGATTGGTGAGTCGATATTCCAGAAATGTTTCGAAAATGAACAGCTTGGATTTACTGTCTAAACACCCCTATAACATGGACTCTCCCATTTCGTTCTGAAAAAGTACGTCACGAGACGAAAAGAAGTGGTATGTTTTGACTTGGCTCATGATATCAATTACTGGATTGTCTGGTCCAGACTCGATTATTTACGTACCGCCATCATATAGCTGGAATATTGCTCAGTGCGGCGTTAAACAACAATCCAACCAACCAATAAGAAGTGTGAGACCCATTCCTCCATGACATGGCTGGAATAGAGCTGAACAGCGTGAAACATAGTCACTAACGCATTCACCTATGAACACAATCTGCTGACATCGTCAGCAATACTGATCAACACATCTCCAAATTTCATGCTTAATTACCACATCAAGTATGCCCACTCCCCGGGGCACTTTGAATGCATAAAACGTCACGGTGTATAATTCAGAAATTCAATAAAACTCTCTTTATTCCCTAAGCTGTCCAGAAATGAAAGGATCTCATTTGAATATCAACTGCATAAAAATAACAGCAGGCATAATTAGCCATGAAAAAGGTGACGTGTTGCAGCAGATGTTGTCAATTAGACTTGCTCCGCCTGTCTAAATATGTTTTTGTTTGAATGTTGTGAATATTGTTTACGCAAAGTTTATTTGAGCTAAATAAGATACAAAACCACCTGTATTTGATCAGTGAGCAGATGCAGTTCTTTGATCTTGTTGTACAGTAAAATAAAGCTGTATGAATTGCCATTCTCTGTAATCTTATCTACTGTGGAAAGTTTTAAATGTTTTGAATAAATTCCTAAATGACATGAAGAGAGTGTCTTTATTTTACAAGGGTGTTCCTTATCACCCACACAGAACACGGCTGCATTTTGAAGCGTTGACGTGTCTGCAATATGAGACTAACCCTATCGTTCTATTGTCATGTTTAATAGCAGCTGTGAACATAACTGTGTACTCTGTCAGTTGAAGGTGTTCAGAATGGTATGCCACTGTCTGACACGTGGAGGTATGGTACTGAGCATTATCATAGAGGATCGGAGTCTCTGTTTACTGAGGACGAGTGAACATGAACAGCGACAAGGTCAACCGTAGAACAGAAGGTATCATACTCTTCGATATACATCACTGAAGTCTCTGGACCCGTGAAGATCCGGGTTAGAATATCTTCAGCCACCCATGCCATACAATCAAGTAATTGACATCATGATCATCGATCCACGCAATTGGGATCGATGACATGCATCAACCAAATCAGCGAGTCTGACCACCCGATCCCGTTAGTCGCCTCTTACAAGCATAGTCGCCTTTTACGACAAGCATGGGTTGCTGAAGACCTATTCTTTTCCGGATCTTCAAGGGTCTTACCATCTAGAAACCGCCAGTACAAGTGCAACGTTATCTAATGTCTCTTCGTCTCTTTCAAGTGCGCATCTCTTGATGAAACGTGTTCTGTGGCATGGCAAGTGTATTTTACATTTTATTTTGTTTAGTTATTGTGCACTAGATTGTGTGTCCCACGTCTGTAAATTAACTTCCAACAAGACTTCGTCGCACTCTACCCAGCAATTCTGATTAAAGAGATATGTACGTGACATGAATTGTACCACTAAAATAAAAACACTAATTCATGTGTGTTACTGTGTGTTCTTCACACAGACGTTGTTTTATTTTACGTCGCAGACAACAATATTCCACTTTTTTGTCACATAGGCTGCAAAACAAGTAATAAAGGGAAATTTATTAATGTTTTTCATATATATTTTGCCAAACATTAGTTGGGTAATAGCAATTATCCATTAACCTGTCATAGCGACTGATTTACAACACCCATTGTCTGATTCGAACCAGTCACGTCTCAGGGATGCAAATTGCGGTGGCCTCCACCAATGAGGCCTGTAGCATTTCAGAGTGAAATGAGTTGCGGTGACATAGCACCCACATATATAAAGACTAGTGTCAGTTAATATAGTCATACGTATTAGCTGTTAAGACGTGAAATGTTTGGTAATAGCCACGCTTGTTTTGAATTGTATAAATGATCTCGCGAATATGCAATGAGCGTTATTTTTCGGGAATACTTTGAAGGTAAGTGAGTAAATGTTGTTTTTTCACCGAAAGGTCCATACTATATTTACTCTTACGTCAAGCATAGGTAACTACGGCACTACTAGATTAGAATGATTGCTTATACACAGCTACGATTCGCACGATGACGTTCTACTATACTTAGTCTAATGCTGGGGGCACGGGTGGCCCAGTCGTCTAAGGCGCCGCGATTCGCTGTGCAGAGTTGCGTCCCTTGGGAATGCCAGTAACCTATGATTGTGGGTTCGAATCCCGGTTCGCCCCGATTATGTTTCTAGGTTTGTCAGCACCATACCCGTGCTCTTTGGTTTCACCGAAGTGGTAAACGTCTGAGACCTGCATCACTTTTTGCTTTCCTCCAACATTAAGCTGACACGCCTTGATATAACTGGAATACTGTTAAAAGCGGCGTTAAACCCAACTCACTCACTCACACTAGTCTAATGCTGAATTTGCACCAGCCTTCGCAAGGTCCGTCAGAGTTCAAATTACATAATATCGTGGCAGGTTTTATACCCACTTGTTCCGAAACCATTAATGTTTGAATACAAACTTTCCATTCATCATGTTTAAATGACTATTCTATGGAATACTGTAAGGGACATTCTCGCGATCTCGCATTCTCGCGATCTCGACCTTTGGAAACGAGGTAAATATGCCCAAAACCCGAGAATGCGAGGTCGCGAGAACGCGAGATTTGGCCAAAATCTCGCGTTCTCGCGATCTCGCATTCTCGTGTTTTTGGTACATAGCACTTTTTGTCAAAAGTCGAGAACGCGAGAATGCGACATTTGGACATGATGCAAAATCTCGTAATCTCGCAATCTCGACTTGTCAAATTAGGCCACAAAAACACGAAATCGCGAGAACGCGAGAATGCGACATTTCATTTTCTCGCGATCTCGCGTTCTCGTGTTCTCGCGTTTTAGACGCTGTCCGTGCGCATGTGTAATATCACAAGGTCAAGGCCCATGCGCACGTTAGAAGTCCTTTGGTCATGCTTCTTTCGTGCTCTTCATTCTCCAAGTAGCATTTAGCAAACTTATGACTTGAGCTTGAAAATGCTATGTAATTTACATACACAAAGTCTGAGTCATCTCCCGTTGTTACAGTTTCCTATGTTCTTTATGATAAAACCCTCAACATGCTCAATATAATTTAACAAAAGAAATTGTGTACATGAATGTCCAATGATAGTGAAAACATTAATGTGTCCGAAAGCTGGAAACAAAACTATTACCGTCAGTGAGTGAGTAATATTGCTTAAAGCCGCACCAGCAGTACTACAGTTACAGAAATAATCACAGGCCAGTGAGTTTCTCAATGAGGCAATGTTATACACGGCTAGCATATTCATGAAAGGCAAAATTCTCACAGACCAATTTGAAATACAAAATTAATTATCATATTTTCATCCGCTCCAACCTGACTACAAAACATCCCGCTTTACATTATTTTATAGTTAAAATGGATAAAATTATCATTAAACCGCCCGCATGTTATCATAAATGAGCGGGCCACTGTTAAAGAAATAAACGACGAGTGGGAGTACAATAAAACACTGCAGGGAGAATAAACCATGAGGGGCTAGTGTTTTATTGTACAATAAACAACAACCACGAGTCGTTTAATGATTATATGAGATATCAACATTATGTACAGCCTCTTTAAGGATGTTGATAAAATGTACAAGGTTTAAAAATATTTACCCCTATTTAA